GGTTTGCCCATGGGTGAGAAAGGAGGGTCCTTTTCTTCCGCTCATCTCTTTGGTCATCATAGTTGTGCGTCTTGGGTGGGATGGTGTCGGGGTCTTAATTCCGGGCCGACGACCTTCGTGGTGGTAGTCCCGTTGCTTGTGGGTGGAGCTAGGGGTTATGGTGTGGTCTGGCTGCCATGGTCATGCAAGCGGCGTGGTGGTCTGTGTGTTGTGGCTATGGTGTGGCAAATGATGGCTTGGTGTAACTCGTTTTGTAAACGATGGCGTGGTGCCGGGGTGAGAACTCATTCTAGCTATGCCAGGTCGACAGCTGCAGTGTCTATGGTTTCATCCCCTTCTTGAAGGTGTCATCACGACTCTTCTTATTCTCCCTCTGGGGGAATCTCTGATCGCTGCACGGGCGGTGGCGGCATTTAGGTGTTGTTTTCTTCTTCAAGACACCGTCTTAGAGCCCCCGGTTTGTCATACACGGCTCTTTTGTGTACCTGTTCTTATCACCCATGTATCATGTCTTGAGTGTGTGCGTTGTGGTGTTGAGTGGAGTGTGTTGAGTTGTATGATGATTGGTCGTTGCTTTATAAATAAATCGGAGCGCGAGCCTTTTTTAGTAATCTAATCAATTCTTACTTTGCAGTTTCAGGAAGAAACGATGCTAAGCACGTATACCTAGGTAGAAACACAAATCTGAGTCTATGCCTAATTAAATGAAGGGAGCTTAGCAACCAAAAACTAAACACATATGTATTGGGGAGTTTAGTTGCTACTCCCATGCATTGGAAGATGTCTTAAAATCTCTTACGAGGTAGCGTGAACGTGGAATCTAGGATCATAGAAACGAGATGACCCATAACTACCTGACAGCATCTAGAAACTCTATAGGCTAATGGCCCGATTACATGCTGAGAAAATAACTCCGACCGAACATTAGGAATTATAATGTCCCAAATGAACAGCGATGTCAAACGACGATTATTATAATCCTGTGTTGATAAACGAAGTCTGAAAATGCTCCAGTATTGTTGGTTATCAATCACTAGCATAGAGGGGACAGCGCGCAAATCGCATTGACTCTTGATAGATAAATTCACGCTAGCACTACAAAATATCAAAATAAATTTAGCAACCAGCACAAAGTAAACCAGAAAATATTTCATTCTGCTAGCACTACGGATCCTGATGACGACGCAAACGACGTATCATCGTCCCCATCTCCGTCACCGTCAGATTCTGATGACGACGAATCTTCAAACAATGCATCATCATTTTCTTCCATTTCATTGCGCCCGCCCCTCCTACTTTTGGTTGAATTACTTGCTGTTGGGGCTGTCATCCCCTGTACGAGATCACCAAGGAGGGTCTCCAACCCTGATGCAAACTTGTGGATGATCCCCTGTACTTTAAGCTTGTTCTGCAGAAAAAAAAACAGTAAAAGGCATTATGAGAGCAATTTAGGGTGAGGTTTGGGTGTGAGAAAAGGTGATAGGATAGATGGCACATCAACTCATCCTTGTCAAAGAAAAAGAAAAAAGGAGTCTTGTTTTTACATTTTCAGAGCAACTTGGGTGGGTGTTTTGCCTCATCCAGGTTTCGAAGCCACCAGGGCCTCCGAACAGACCCAATGTGCTTGTGCCTGATCCACTAGCAGCCTCCTCTCTGAATTCTTCCTTTAGCTGCATGTACATGTTTGAAAAAAAGAGATCAAAAAAAGGTTTGATTCTTCGGAAGTACTATTCTGAAATGAACCTGTTGTCATTAATGCTGCGTGGAAAAAAAAAGAGGGAGGAGGAGGTGAAAAGAACCTGAAGTTTACCAAAACAGGGTGGATCATGCTCTAACATGTCCAGCTCAGCGACAACATCAACCTGGGTCCTGGACCATGCGTTTACTCTATATGGTGTGTCAGTTAACTCAAGCTCCATGCCATCACAATCCAAAGCATCGAGGTACCTTAGCTGTGGGTACAAAATTAACAGACAGAACAAAAAAGATATAAATCAGAGAGTGGGACATGCAAAAATATGCGGAACCCCAAAATGGCTAATAAACCCAGGTTGGGCAAGATGGAGGAGCACATAGTTGCCTGATATTATACTTATGTGGTTGGCTAAGGAAAACAAATACTCCCTCCGTCCGAAAATACTTGTCATCAAGATAGATGAAAAGAGATATATCTAGAACTAAAATACGTCTAGATACATCTCCTTTTATCCATTTTGAAGACAAGTATTTCCGGACGGAGGGAGTACTAAAAATGTACTCCCTCCGTTCCCAAATACAAGTCTTTGTAGAGATTCCACTAGGTGGACTACATACGCAGCAAAATGAATGAATCTAAACTTAAAATGCATCTATATACATCCGTATGCGGTTTATAGTGGAATCTCTACAAAGACTTACATCTACTACCCCTATAAAAGAAAGAAAGAGGCAGATCCAAATAATCTCAGCCGCCTAATCACACGATCTAATGGTTCACAATCTCTCTGTGTTTAACGCTAGCAAGCCACTAACCCGTCGACTGATAGTAGATGCCTCTTCGTTAAAGAAAACTACTCCGCACGAACGAACCACGATCTCTATCCTGCTTCTCCTGTGTAACCTCCGCCCTCTCCTCCTGTGCACGGTGCGCCGCCCGCTCCTTGCCCATCGGACGCGCCGGCACGGGTTGCTGCCGCCGCTCCAATCGCCCGTCGCTGCCCGCTCCAGTCGGCCTCTGCCGCCGCCCGCTCCTTCTGTGTTGCCCAGTGGACGCGCCAGCACGGGCTACCACCGCCACTCGCCGATCCTCCACTCCGCCGCCGCTCCAATTGCCCGTCGCCCCCCGCTCCAGTCGGCCTCTGCCGCCGACCCTCCGCTCCTCCGCCGTCGCCGCTGAACTCGGCTTCCGTCGCGGCTGACTCTGATCCCCCACTTCGACGGTGGCCACCTATACGGTGAGGCCCTCGCCATCAAGCCGACTAACTTTCACCATGTATCTCTCTGATCCTCCAAGTTGATGCTTGTGATTCTGTTCTCTCAATATCTCACGAGGTCCAGTATATTTTTTTCAGTGTAGTGTTGCTTCACATTTGATATTTTCAGTGTAGTGCTGATACACGCTTCACTTTAACCGGGAGATATTTGCCAGTGGCGATCTACAACCGGCCAGCCGTATCACGGTTCATGTTTTTGTTGGTTCGGAGTGCCCTTTCCACTGGAATTTATTGTGATGAATCGATCTGGCCATATCCTGACTGAACATAAAAAGTCTGATGTATCAAACTGGCCACATCCTTTTATACTTATTGATTGATATAAGTAATCTTCTTTGCAATTTGCTGTACAAATCAATCTAGCTGAGTTTTGTAGTTGATCCCATTAAGTGAAATATTAATCTTAGAAGGTCTTTGACTAATTTTAGAGTTGAGTTTAAGATCCCTAAGAGGTTTCCAACAGCAAACAGATTTAGGTGCTGTAGTGATTGGTCAATGTTGCTATGTCAGAAGTGCTTTCGGTTATAGCAACATGCACGTACCAGTGGTTGGAAACAGGTATATGGATTGATTTTTGGGAGATTTGCATGCATGAAGAACCTTGCTACATAAGCTTTCGGCCATGACACACATATATATTCTGACAAATTTCTTCTCCGTTGAACTATTTATGTCCTCTTGCAGATGGTAATCATCTTAACTATGAGCAAGTAGGTCGGAACTATGAGCAAGTAGGTCACGTTTAAGATCTCAAGGATTCAGTG